CCTAAGTTTTACCACAGATCCTATACAACAATATGCATCTACTGTATATACAACTTGTATATAGGATCTGTGGTAACAGAGATGTATTTCACAGAATCACAGCTGACTTCATTTAATAGGAAGAAGCTCTTTGGGTTAGTATGTTTGACATAGCACATATCCGGCTTCATTGATTCTATTCTTCAACCTCTCATCCCCGCTATTCCCAGTTTCACTAAAGACACTACTCATTTTCTTAATATTGTATCCTCCATCCCTGAACTTGCTGGAGATTCCCTTCTTGTTACTATGGACGTTTCGTCCCTCTACTCTAACATCCCCCACAACGAAGGCTTGAATGCTCTTTCATCTTTTCTTCACAAACACGATTTTCCACCCGAACATATCCACGATATTAATAGCATTCCCCATTTCATACTTACCCATAACAATTTTGTTTTCAATAATGCGCACTTTCTTCAAGTTAAAGGTACAGCCATTGGTACCAAGATGGCGCCCAGCTATGCCAACATTTTCATGGCATTCCTGGAAGAGAAAATTAAACCCGCTCATTATCACCGTTACATAGACGATATTTTCTTCGTCTGGAACCATGGGCTTGACAATCTTTTGCTTTTTGAAAGACATGCAAACACATTTCACCCACACATTAAATTCACACTTGACTACTCATCCCAGAACATCCCTTTTCTCGATGTATCCGTCTCTATCCAAAATGGTCACCTCACCACTTCAGTTTACGCTAAACCTACTGACAATCACTCATACCTTAATTTCTATAGGTCTCATCCCCTCAGTCTCAAGAAATCTATTATTTATAGCCAATGCCTTCGCCTTAAACGGATCTGTTCAGATGAGGCCGATTACACCTCCAATGTCGGTCTACTCATGGGATATTTTATTGACAGCGGTTACCCTATCCCCCTCATCCAATCCCAAATAGCCAAAGCTAATAAACGATCCCGCCTAGACCTTCTCGCCCCCGACCCAAATTCACCACTGACCGAATTCCTCTAGTTTTCTAGTGTCCGTTTTCACTAACACCATAAGGAAAGATTTCTCCATACTTCAACAGCACGAATCCACTAACACCTTATTTGACTGTCCCCCTCTCCTTGCCAATCGCCAACACAGCAACCTTAAATCTTTTCCTTCTTCTTCTAATATTAATGATAACCCTAACCACGGTAACCTCAAATGTAATAAACCTAGTTGTATGTTATGCACTTCACTCATTACTGACAGCAAAATTGAAATTCCTAATAGCAAACATACCATTCATCCACCTCCTTTCAACTGCGATTCTTCTAATGTTATTTACATAATTACCTGAAATATTTGCCCCACTGTTCATTATATAGGTGAGACCAGCACTAAATTTCGTACTAGAATTAATAACCACAAGTCCTCAATCCGCAAAAATCTCCCCGGATTCCCTGTTGCTGAGCATTTCAATGCCCCTAACCATAGTATCAACAACATGAAATTTGCCATTATCGCCGGTAATTTCAAGTCTCATTCAGACAGAAAAATTAATGAACTCAAATATATTCTCAAATACAAAACTCACCTCTTTGGCCTCAACAGAGATCTCGGCATCATTAGTGATTACACATTCAGCCACCACTAACATAATTGTATCACCGTTTGTTATATTATTACATTATTTTACACATGCTGTTTATTTTTGTCATTTCCCGGCTTCTGTTTGATTTTCATTGTTATTATTTGGTTTTCGCTTTTGATCTCTCATTCCTATTTGCGATTTTGACCTAGACATATTTTATTCATTCGTGTATTTTTATATCAACGGGTTTTATTATAACGTGTTGTTTACTTATTTCCTACCTTCTTGATGTAGCTATGCTACACTCATTTTTTATTATACTTTTTCATAACATTGATTCATTTTGACTATTTTATTTATTTACCTCGCTCTTAACATTATATATTTTTTATTTTACATACTTGCGTCCATTGTGGCCTAAATGTTATGCTATGTTTCTCTAT